TTATGGCAGAATGCGGAGGAGTCACCCACGTCACAGTGCGTGGCTACTATGTCAGGTTGATGTAAGAGCAGAGCATCCTGTTGCCTCAGGGCGGTGGTGAGGTCTGAACAGGACAGGCACATGGACGCACTTGGCTCCTGACTGACTTGACTGATTGTGGCAGCACAATCTGGCTGGGGTTCCACCTTTGAGTCAATGTCTCCAGGGTCTAGGGCTGCATGCCCTTGGATTGCCTGGTGAACTGGTTGAGTGGTGTGAGCATGGCGTTAATGGCTGTCCCCACCCCTTGATGCCCGCAGATGGATCCTGTGCAGAAGGCCGTGATTAACCACACCTTCGGGGTCCCCCTGGTGAAGACCAAGCGCCCTGTCATCTCCTGCAATGTCTGCCAGATTCGCTTCAACTCTGAGGTAAGAAAGGGGGGTAAGGTTATCTTGGGGTGACAAAGGAAGTAGGGAATGACAGGGCTATGTGAGCATTTAGGGGTGTGGGGAGAAACAGGAGAAAATTAGGGAGTGCTGGAAGTGTGGGGCTGTGATGAGGTGGGGGTGGAATTTTTGGGAGCAAGAGGATAAGAGTTTGGCGGTCAGAGGATGAGGAAGGGTGGATTAGGAGGACAGAACATGCAGGGAGGAGGGTAGTTCAGCCCGAGCCCAGTTTTACAGAATTTCTTAATGTAATCTTTCTCTATAATTATGGACAAAGTTCACACACCTCCCTCCTGTTGAGTTCTTTTGTGTCCATCTGATGGGACTACGATGGTACCGACCCTTTCTCTGTGTCCGCTAGCGGCTCTCCCTGACTGAGGCTTTCTTCCCAGCAGCGCTCAGAGCTCTCCAGGGGTTCTAAAACACACAGACGCTAAAAGGCAAGACAGAGCAGGAGATGATTCAGTAGCTCTGTAAATGGCACTTAAGTGCTTCTGAGCTGCTTGTGCAAATTTGTAAATTTAGTGTTGCTCTGTTTGCCGACTCACTTTTGCTTGCTCGTGCAGGACAGTGTTTCCTAAGCTGTTCCTCATCTCAGAGAGACTGACTGATAGACAGTGTGGGTGAGAATTAGAGTGGTTATTATTACCTGTAAACTTGACAGTGATTAGAATTTTTCTGAATATCAGACAACACACATGGTCACACAATGTCCTTACAGAAATATATTTACATATTTATATATTTAATAAAAATATATTTTTCCCCACCTCTCCCTGTTGTCTTAACCAAGTTCTGATTGTCATGCAGCCCGACCCCTCATAGCCCAGGTTACCCTGATGCTGCAAGATCTCCTGATTTTAAAGTTGCTGGCTGTAGGGGGCTGCAGTGCCTCTCACCTAGTAAAGGCACTCACTGTGAAAGTCCACAGGGACATGGCTCTAGCCCACCATGACTCGTAAACCCTAAGGGGTGTCGAGAGCCAGCTCTCCCGGAAGGGATAGGATTTGCGTTGGTGAGGGTCTTTCAGCACTTGCAGCCTAGTGATGACATCAGTGAGGGACACACCTTTCCTCTAATAGGAGAAGACCCTCCTGTCAATCACTGCAGTGCCTGTGATTAATCATTGTGTCATTAGATGATAGGCGTGCAAGTCAGAGTGCTCTTGTCTACACATCCTTGGGACCAAGAGTCCCCTGGCAATTGTAAATTGGGCACGTAACATAACATAATTAGTGATCGTAAGTATAACCATGTCGGATTTAAAGTGCTGTTTGGGATGTGGTGTGGCACCTTGTTGTTTTTATCCCTCTTTACAAAACTGTAGGATTCCTTCTTCTTGACCTCGGAGGCAACAGAGCACTTACTCTCACCTCACCTGTCAAATGGAAAGAGCTTTATTGGCATGACTGATGGATTACGGTGTTGTCCTCTAGCTCTCCTCTATCCACTCTCTCACCTTTCTCTCTCCTCTCTCCTCTCTCTCTACTCTGTGTGATCTAACCCTCTCTCTCTCCTCTCTCTCTCAGTCATCAAGTACAACGAGCTTTACTGGCGTGACCAATAAATTACTGTGTTGCCAAAGTAATAACAATTAGCAAGATATTTACAGACATTTACAATGATAATTTTGTTATTTGAGAGGCTCACTGTCTGTTGCTCAGGCTGTGACAGGAGATCACATACTGGGCTGCAGCTCTATTGAGTTTCCACCCCCGGGAGGATCTCTGTCCTCTATATCCTCTCTCTGTCTCCTTCCCCACCCCCACCTCTTCCCCCTCCCTCATTCCTCTAATCCCCCACTCATCACGCTCTTGGGATAATTTTAATCCCGTTTGAGGTTCAGTTCCCCTAAACTGGACACAAGCCTCGGTACGCCTCACTCTCTCCCCACTCTTCCTTCATGTGACCCCCCCGGTCTCCGGCCACGTGCGCCCTGCTCTGTCGCTGTCGCTACTCGGTGCCCAGCCCCAGCACTAATAGCAACACCTTCCCCGGCAGCTGTTTCCCAGAGCTCACAAGTAAAGGTTATGACAACACATCCAGAGGCCTGTTTGTTTAATGGAATTTTCTGCATGGTGATAGAGAGGGATCGGTTAAACAGCATTACTCTCTCCCCCCCTCCGCATTTAAACTCCTGCTGAATTTTAACCTTTAACCTTTTTTAAACATTTTTGGACTTCAGTGCTGGGTTTTATCCTTTGCCAGGTTCTTAAGACCCCTCAAGTTCGGAGTCGCAGAGTTGGGGGCTGTGTGTACATTCTGGTGTGCAGTAATTACACCAGGGCTTAAACAAATGCCTTGGCGCACACTGCAGCAAGGCAGTTCGCTGAGGAACAGGGCTATAGAGTTTCCAGTCCATGAGAAGTCTGGTTTTATTTATTTATATATCGCTTTCGCCCCAGCTGTCGGCACTCAGCGCGCTCAAGTGTGATGGGGTAATCCAGGTGCGCCATAAAAGTCTTGGCTCTTCTGCTTTTCATCAGTGTCTTACAACTTCTTGTTCTACTTTCATGTAAGAGCTAAGAGCTGCATTATTATCAGGCAGCAGCGTGGAGGGGGAGTGAGGCAGCAGTGTGGAGGGGTGGTGAGGCAGTGTGGAGGGGTGGTGAGGCAGCAGTGAGGAGGGGTGATGAGGCAGCAGTGAGGAGGGGTGGTGAGGCAGCAGTGTGGAGGGGTGATGAGGCAGTGTGGAAGGGTGATGAGGCAGCAGTGTGGAGGGGTGATGAGGCAGCAGTGTGGAGGGGTGGTGAGGCAGCAGTGTGGAGGG